ACCACTGTATCCACATGCCTAAGGTTACATTTCTTATACCCTTAATCATATAATACTTTACATCAGGGGTGTCCAACCTTTCACCTTCCCTGGGCCACATCAGAAGATGAAAATTTTGTTTGGGCCGCACATACATTTGGTTTGGGCTTCATGGGGGGCAGCCCTAGCCATCTTTCACAGCCCCGCTCCAAGCGCGCTTACCAGCAGCTGCGATCTCAGACGGCAGAGGCTGCCAGCTTCGACTCCGGTGGCTTTATGGGGCCGGCAGGGTGTCCACCTATTGACAGGGATGGCGCAATCCAGTCACGCAGCCCCCCTGTCCCCTCCCCTCCCACTCCTTCCTTCCCTCTCTCCCCCTCTATTGTTGTGATATGCCCCGGCCACATTCTGGCCGCAAGCACCGGCAGTGTAACTTGAAACTTTGGAATTTCTTTAAAAATAAAAAATTGCACTGGGCCGCATTAGGAGCTGACCTGGGCCGCATGCGGCCCTCGGGCCGCAGGTTGGACAAGCCTGCTTTACATAAAATAGTAAACTCTGATAGTTCCCCTCTTCCTGTCAGTTGGAAGTCTGTTTTGGTCAATAGTCCAGTTTCACAGTATTGACACCAGTACTGACTTTATTATAGAAATTATCAATTTAATTGCATGTGGGGGCTAGGAAATAATTCTAAGCCTCCACTACTTGTGTTTGTCATCGGGTAAGCTTTTATTCTTGTGAAATGAAGTCTGTTTTTTGTATTGAGAAAGCAGTATCTACAGTATTTGCTTATGGCAAATTATGTCCCATCTGGAAGAATCATATGTTCTGACTTGCCACTTTTTAGTTTATCGTTCCAGTGTAGGATTTTATTGTATTTTTTCTGGCCTGTTCGTAAGGAATTTTCAATGATGGTCAGTGAAAAACTTCCCTTCCAGCAAAGTGTTGCTGCATTATAAGGTCAGTGGTGAATAGTACCTAGAAATTTGACTTCTTTTGCCCACCATACATTGTACTGGAGCCAGTGCAGAACTGGTAGAATGGTTACAGTCTTTCCTAAGACAATGTGCATTTTTAGCTGGTATGACTTTTAATGTATTCTTATGCATGTGCATGTTAATCTTTAAGTTCTATTGTAAATTTCAAATGAGAAAAATTCATCAGATGATCCTATTTCCTGGATACTTTACTTTACCAAAATTTGCATCTTTATTTATACCATCTTCATGTAGCCAAGAGTTATAATATACACTTCTTGCACTATATTGACTCCTCATTTTCCTTTCGTATAGAAGGTACAGTGGTATATTTCATTGGCTTACTTGCTCAGAGAGGTGCTTGTGTAAGCAGAATATGAACAACTGCCCAGAGTAGACCTTTGGTCTAGATGGGCGGGATAGAAATTAGGTAGACCGGTAGGTGGGTGGGAGGGAAGGAAGGAAGGAAGTGGATGTGGGACGCTATGTAAAAAGGAGCTTGGGATGAATAAAAATGCCTGCTTAGGAAAATAGCCACTGCATGATTTGTGATTATGCAGCTGTCGTTCTATGTTTCCCATGAGTGTTTCACAGAAGACTTCATTTGTGGTATAACAATACCCAGGTTTTTCATCTGTAAAAACAAGGAGTATTGGGCTATTTTGAGTATGGCTAGAAAATTAATCACTTGACTTTGGTTGCTTGTTTGACCACTTATCAAAGTAAAATACTGTAGTTAGGGTTCTTTAGTAGAAGCAATGGCTCATAATAGCACAGGAGTTATGCTTTCTGGATATAAGAACCTTTCATTCTCTGGGTACGATCCTGTTGTACTGTTTCTTTACTACTGTCTTTGCTGTTTGAATGGAAGACAGTTTCAGCCTCAGTCTAAGCTCATTTTTATGAAGTATTTTTGCTCTGCTTCAATACCTTGTCTTGAAGCTTTTATAGCTTATTGCTTGCCTTGCTCTGTGTTCTTGCAATTTCCATTTCTTGAAGACAACTTATAGTGTTTTTTAATGCAGATAGGTTGTCCAAGATCTGTTATCTTTTGGCCAGGAGGAGGTTTACTTGTTACTAAAGGCAGTGCTCCAGAAGGGTAGCTCTTTCTTTCCTTCCCCTGCCACAAGAGGACTAGCTTCACTACCAGTTTAAGCACAACTTCAGTCTGAAAAGGAATCTAAGTCTTATTCCCATTTGTTTCAGACAACAAATGCTCACTGAAATTCTTGTTATAAATTTTGTATACTCATAGTTTTTGAAGTCCTCAGCAAAAAAAGAGAAATCTTAATTTCTTCAAGATTTCCCAACTGAAGTACAAGAACAATACCCACTTTTTTCCCTGATCAGCTCTGAATTCTGTGCACAGTAGTCATTTGTTTCTATGTGAGGTACTAGGTTTCCTCTGCAAAGCACCAGGTGATGTTTGAGCATGTGAATGTTTAGAGTCGTAAATCTTTACTTCTCTCCTCTGAGGAACAATTGCAAAAATTTCTCCTCACCATGCCAGAAGGGGCGGTATTTTTAGGTGATAGTGAATCCACATTTTACACAAATTGCATATATTTTGCAAATATTGCATTTTGAATATTTCACACAAATTATTTAAAACTGCATATACTGCCTTATGTGGAAACATCGGGTGTTCCTCTCTTTTTAAAGTCTCTGTTCTTGCTATAGTGTGTGCTTTGCTTTTCAAAAGGAAAGGAAACTATATTTATACAAATGTTAGGTAGTTTTCATGCATCATGGTGTCTTGTGTAGGAAGCAGGTACAGGAAAACAAAAATGAGTGAAGTCCTATGAGAATTTTTTTTAAAGAAAATGTTCCACTGAAAGATCTTGTGAGGAGTAGTAAAGAGCAGTTGTTTCTTCTTGGCCTGCTGAGAATGAGATGCAATGACGTCCACATACCTACAGATGTTGTTACTGAGAGCACCATTTTTCCCCACCAAGAATGCTTAGCATCCTTCCTAGTGGACTGTTCTGCAGCAAATGGGAACACTACTGGGCTGCTCTAATTGCAGTTCCATTGCTGGTGGAATTGGTGTCAGGGTTTAAAGTCGAAACCTCTGCTTTGATTTATTTATTTATTTTGCTTCAGAATATGCTTTCAGATACTCTGTTTTCAATACATTAGTATGTTGCTGCCTTCTTCTTCCCCACACATCTTTATATCAGGTTTTATTGGAGAATTGTCTGAACTTAACCTGACTCCCATTTCTAATTGGGTTTGCTTTGCAGGGGAGAATGCATTCCTTTTTATATACACTATTCTATGAATTATGTAACTTTTTAGCTATCCCTTATCTCTGATGCTTGTTATGATTATATTCAGAAGTGTTTTCAGGAGTACTTCACTTTCAAAGGCTTCCAGAATGGTGATAAAGACCTTTTTTGTGGGGATACACAGGATGTGGAATATTCTTCCCAGAGACACCTGCTTAATATTTATATTACTGACCTTAAGTGTCTAATCAAAGTTGTCCCAGGCTTTTAGTAAATAACGTTGTTTTACGTGCAGTTGTTTCCTCTGCTGTTTTCATTTGTGTGTGTGTTTTTGCTGCTATTTTTATTTGTGTACTTGTTGCTGAGGTTGAAAAGTTGTGTGCATTTTTCTAATAAAGATGTGTTACACACACCTCATACTTAATTTCTACTCATTGAATCTGTTATAATTGCTTTTCCAGTTTTAAACAGCTGCTGCTAACCAAATATTTATTTGTTTGTTAAATTGTTCGTTCGTTCATCCATTAATTTTAAATATTTTTACCCTGCCTTTCTCCTTGAAAAAAAAATGACCCAAGGCAACTTACATGATTAAAATACAATATTTAAAGCTAAGGAGAGTAAGTATACAAATACTAAAAAGGAGCAAGCAAATGCCATGCTAAAAAGCAACACCAAGGCAGCCGTTCAGTGAGGGAATGCTTTCCTGAAGAAAAAGGAAAACCACCCTTCCTGCTTGCAGAAGGACAGCAAAGATGGAACCAGCCTGGCCTCCTGTGGGAGGGAGTTCCAAAGTGTATAGTGTTTTCATTTTCCTTAGATATACTGTGCTACTTACTATCACTCTTTTAAAAAATAGTAATTTCACACTTGCTGGCCAAATTTTGCCTGTCTCAGAGATTTCTCCTTTGGTCAGAAAACAGACTTACTATTCAGTGGCTGAAATCCTGTTGCATAAATTTATGCCTGTGCAAGATGATGTCATGAGCCATGGGCTTTTGACACTAATCAAAAGTTTCCTATTTGCCACCCTGTCCTCTGAAGGTTCTGAGGCTGGAGATTTGGAAAAACATTTGGGAACCTCAGTTATGAGCAGAGGGGAGCCTTTAATCACTACTGCTGTGAACAGGATCAGTGGTGGCGATTTTCAGGGCATTAGAGGTTCTTCTTCCTCTTCTGAGGTCTCCAATGGCTTCCTGTAGTAAAAAAAGTGATCCTTAGGGAGCCCTGGAAACTTGTGAGAGGAGGGACAGAAAACTTTTAATCGGCAATAAAAATCAACAACCGATAATGTCAACAGCTTGCATAAGCATACATTTATGCAACAGGATTCCAGCCATTATGTAGACTTCATCAGTCTGCTGTCGTTCTGAACAATTACCTGCAGTTTTGCAAACCAACTTCAATTGGTTATTTCTCAAAATGGCAATCATCTCTCTTCCCCAGTCCTCATTATTCATCTTTTTACGTATGAAAGGTATAGAGTGTTGTATACATTTTATTATTTTTTCCCATTGAAATAAAGGCTAATATTAGCCCTGGACTATTAAGTATTTTTCAAAGCTCTTCATTGTTTGGTAACACTGTATTCATTGCATTGCACTGATAACCCCTGGCATGAGGATTCGAGTGTGCTCGCTATACGGGGCACCACTGTATTCATTGCATTGCACTGAGATAACCCCTGGCATGAGGATTCGAGTGTAGCTTAAATAGTTTGTGTGTTGGATTCATGATGCTAATTAGTGTTTTACATCTTAAGGTAATCATTTACCATTAATAAATTCAGTTAATACATTGTTCCATTTTTCCCTAGGCATATGGCATGTCTGCTCTACCTTTAAACTTAATAAAGGGGACAAGAAATGCTAGCTATGAGCGCTTGGAAAACACTGAAGATATTGAGGAGGTTGAGCAGAGTGTACAAAGGATAAAAGCCAAGGTTAGTGTTGTTTTAAAACATGTCTAAGAAAAGTTCACTTATTTTTTATTCTAATTTTTTAGATAGTTTTGACAAGTGACAGTTTACTGTAAAACTTTAAAATAAAAGAGTTCTAGAAACTTCGTAATATTTGTTTGGGAGAGCGCAACTCCTGAGTGAGACCCAAGTTGTCCAACTATGCCTTCTCAGCCGTAGTTAACCTTAACCACTAAAAAAAAAAAATTATGTGTGTTTTAGTTCTTTGAGTTGCCAGTGATAGTCCAAGAGAGATTTTGTTGTACAAAATATACAATATTATCAAGAATATGGAACCATATGAAGCCAGTCATTTTGTTGTGGCTTGATGATATTTCATGTTTTATTTAGTCACAGTCATAAGTGAATAAGTGCTAGAATAAGTGTTGATTAGAACCTTTTTCAAAATTACTCTCAGATAAAATTGGAAATGAATTTGAAAGGAGTATGGCTTTCAGTTGGGTTAGCTAGTTTGGTGTAATGATGGACTAAGCCTCAGGAAGTCTGCCTGCTCAGCCACTGAAACTCTCTGGGGGAGTGAAACCGGTAAAACCACTCCTTAAATATCTCACTTACCTTGAAAGCCCTCTTAGGGGTGTATGTTGGATCTGACTTGACAGCACACGACAGGTAACGTGGCTTTCAGTTAGCAAAAATAAAGGAAAATATTGTATACTTAATTCATTTATTCATAATGCATATTTGATTCAGCCTTTGCATCTTTTGTTTTTACACTGTCTTCTTCTCATCTAGTGCAAAGATGGCCGGCCTTTATCATCTCGGGATAGACGAACACTGCAACAGCTTGAGGACAAGCTAAGAACCCTTCGGAGGAGAGGGCGTCGCTTGGAATATATTGAGAAAAGCTGCTGGACAAGGTTCTGTGGAGCCATGAGGCCACTAAAAGTATGGTTGTCTATTTTATTCTTCGGAGAAGCTGCTTACATGTAGTAGTGTTTTACAATATTTATAACTGGTTAGAGTTAAATGGCAGCCAGGCCTTGTAATGCTGGTAGGATGACCAGGAAAAGAAGAAGAAAAAGACAATCATTAAATTCATAAATTGTAATAATTGCTCACCTATGTGCCGAGGTATGTGGTGGCACTGTGGGTTAAACTGCAGAAGCCTCTGTGCTGTAAGGTCAGAAGACCAGCAGTCGTAAGATCGAATCCACAAGACGGAGTGAGCTCCCGTCGCTTGTCCCAGCTCCTGCCAACCTAGCAGTTCGAAAGAATGCAATTAGATAAATAGGTACCACCATGGTGGGAAGGTAACAGTGTTCCATGTTTAGTCGTGCTGGCCACTTGACCATGGAAACTATCTTCGGACAAACGCTGGCTCTACGGCTTGGAGATGGGGATGAGCACTGCACCCTAGAGTCGGACACAACTAGACTAAATGTCAAAGGGAACCTTTACCTACTTTTACCTATGTGCTGATGGATGTTTTGAGCATATACTTGTTGACTGTCTCCCAGGCTGCAAAACAGAAATGACTCTGAAAGGAAATAAAAATGTGAAAGCAGATTTGCATGTAGGTCTGATACTAAAAATAAAGCCATATTCTGGTGGATAAGTTCAAGCTTTTAAATTATCTAAAAATACGTCTTTGGATCTCATCCATATTGTCACACTAGCTGTTTCTCAGGCTTGCATTTTTACAACCAAAAGTATGTCAGGTACTGTCATATTCCCAGATTGAGTCCAGACATTATTAGAATAAAGGTCGTAAGGCAGACTGATAATTAAAGTAGTTATAAGTATGTCAGGCAGAAATGGTTCATTGTCTTTGAAATACATAAGTGTTTACTGAGAAGGCAGGACTTGTTTTTTGCAACATTCTCTCTTGGCATCTCCTCAGTTAGCTTCTCCCTTCCATTGATGCAGAAGATTGCTTTGCCGTCTCCTGCTTCAATAAGTCATTCATATTTCTTTCATATTCTTTCTTGCAACTATTTTGGGTTTTATCTTCCTCCTTCCTCTTTTGCCTGTTCTCTGCCTCTGTGCTTTGAATTCACTGTTTTACTTCCTCCCTCACTTTCCTCTTCTGTCCAGTGCTTCAGGCCAGGAAATGCAGCAGAAGGTCTGCTGATAAGAATAGTCATGTTAGAATATCAAAGAAAAAGTTGTGGCCATTTAATTGTCTAAGAGAAAAGATCCAACTGTAACTCATCCCTGTATCGTTCGTTCATTTAGTCGTGTCCGACTCTTCGTGACCCCATGGACGAGAGCATGCCAGGCCTTCCTATCTTCCACTGCTTCCCGTAGTTGTGTCAATTTCATGTTGGTTGCTTCGCAGACACTGTCCAGCCATCTCATCCTCGGTCGTCCCCTTCTCCTCGTGCTGTCACACTTTCCTAACATCAAGGTCTTTTCCAAGGAGTCTTCTCTTGCGAATTCATCACTGTACGGGGCGCTCGTTGTGCAAGGCACCACTGTACTGAAGCATCAGCTTCAGGATCTGTCCTTCCAGTGAGCACTCAGGGTTGATTTCCTTTAGAATTGATAGGTTTGTTCTCCTTGCAGTCCAGGGGACTCTCAAGAGCCTCCTCCAGCACCACAATTCGAAGGCATCAATTCTTTGGTGGTCTGCTTTCTTTATGGTCCAGCTCTCACTTCCATACATCATGACAGGAAAAACCATAGCTTTGACTATTCGGACTTTTGTTGGCAAGGTGATGTCTCTGCTTTTTAAGATGTTGTCAAGGTTTGTCATCGCTTTCCTCCCAAGAAGCAGGCGTCTTTCAATTTTGTGGCTGCTGTCACCTTCAGCAGTGATCATGGAGCCCAAGAAGGTAAAATCTGTCACTGCCTCCATATCTTCCCCTTCTATTTGCCAGGAGGTGATGGGACCAGTGGCCATGATCTTAGTTTTTTGTTGTTGTTGTTGTTGTTGTTTTGATGTTGAGATTCAGGCTGTTTTTTGCACTCTCCTCTTTCACCCTCATTGCAAGGTTCTTTAATTTCTCCTCACTTTCTGTCATCAGAGTGGTATCATCTGCATATCGGAGGTTGTTGATATTTCTTCTGGCAATCTTAATTCCGGTTTGGGATTCCTCCAGTCCAGCCTTCCGCATGATGTATTCTGCATATAAGTTAAATAAGCCGGGGAACAATATACAGCCTTGTTGTACTCCTTTCCCAATTTTGAACCAATCAGTT